TTTTTATCATTGCATCTCTAATGATAAACAAATTAAGCCTTTGTCCTTATAATCCTAAATTTAATTCATTTAACTTTCCAAAAATATCAGCTACATATGCTAAACGCGCCAACCATAATTCACCGAATAAACATTTTTGCAATTCAAATTTTGAATTTCTGATCGAAGTTCAAAAAGACGATTTAAAGCTTTGCATCTGGATAACCACTTTACTTCAGAATGTAAGAAAAGCGTTTTATGTTTACTGCTCATCTCTTGGAATAAAACCGTAAATATTCCTGAATTTAAAGCTCGGCTTTTAATAAAATTAACGATTTTCAAAGCTTGATTTAAAACGGTTTTCAGGTTTTCGAGGATTGTTTTGGCTATTAAAGCTTCACGATGAATGGAGGACTGAGTATATTTAGTTTAAGGCGCGATTTTCTTTATTTGAGAAATAACACCAGAATGTTTTCCTGTTAAAGCCCGAGCTCAATCATTTCATAATGCATTTATTCCAAGGAACATCATTCTCAGACATAAAATTGTGAATTACTTTGAAAATTTCATTTGCAACTGCTGTATCATGAAGATATTCGCAAAATAAATACCCACTGGCAATTCGTTTATTTTCTTCGAAACGTATGTGAGCTAATAATTGAACAAAGTTCGTTGTATCAGTATTTTCCTCCAACTGTAATGCGAAATACTCACTGTGTTTTAGTTTTTGAATAAGTGTCTCTTTTATGGAATTTGCTATTTCCTGAATTCGTTGACCTACTGTATCATTTGATAACGGAATAATATTAAGTTCATTAGCCGCTTGTTCGTTGAATAATGTTAAAACGATGTCTTTAGCGTTTGGTAATATAAGGTTTTCTCTAATAGCCGTGAGCCTGCCCGGTCTTGGCAATTCTTAGGCTTACTAGGTAACTAGCTTCCAAAGCTTTTTCACTTGAAGTAACAAAACCAGTTTTGAACTCCCATGATTTCCTCTTAAAATATTCTTCAGATTTATCCTTTAAATTGGCGAGCTTAGATTCAAGATGTCTTTTAAGAAACGATGGTTTCACATTTTGATTGGATAATAGTTAACTGCAAACCCCACACTGAGGTTTAGGATCCATTTGATCTCCATTCCAAGTAAACCCAAATGATACATAACTTTCATTATATATTCTACAAACAGTTTTTTATTTTCTTTTCAGTTTTCTTAGTGCTAGTAGATTGTCCTGGATCCATCAACTGTGAATCATCAATTTTCCGCTCAGTCCTAGCCAATTTTCCATTTTAAAAATGTAGGTTTGTTTTATTATTTCTTCACAACTATTTAAATGCACCATATATCACGAGTTCTTCAGAAACATACGACGATATTCTCAAATCACGTAGCAAAGTAAGGAATGCAAAGCAAAAAAGACAGTATACCTGCTGTTTGAGACAGAAGATTAAAGTAAAAAAAAAAAAAAAAAAAAAAAAAAAAAAAAAAATTCTAATTGAAAATAGAGCAGTACGAACTCCGAAATGGTTGCGACATAAAGTGTAGACATGCTAATAAATCGATCAACTCTAAAAAAATTAACGAGATACTAATATCTTTTTATAGGAACGTATGTTTATTTTCTACTTAATACAACATCTACTTCTATTACTCATTTTAAAAACATCATTTATGACAAATTTTGTTATGTCTATGGCTCAAAGAATATTTGCGAAAATGAAAACGGATTATTTTGCTAAAGTCTATGGGCGGCTATTAACCTTGAACAAAGCTCAGATCGCATAAATTTACGAGTGTTAGTGAAAAAAACTTAAACAAGATGTTGGAGTACTTAATTTTTGAAGTTAATAGTTAAAAATACTTTGTTTCTTAGCGTACCACCTATTTTTCTCTTCTATACATCTCTATTCTTCTGCTTTTGAAGAAGCACGGGTAATTTCCACTATGGCGATGGTTCTATTTTAAGGTCATGTTATAATCGGGGAAATTTTAGAATAGACAGTATTTTATGACATTCTTGTACTTTTGATGATTCGTTTCCAAATTTTTCATCGTCAAAGTTTCGTCAAATTTGTTACATTTCGTACTGACCCACAGCGTACCACGTAGAAATGTTACCATTGTTACATAATAGAATTTTCAGCGTACCACGTAGAAATGTTACCATTGTTACATAATAGAATTTTTTTTATTAAATTTACGGCGAATAATTTTAAAAAAATCTGTTCATATATGTGCGACTTTACATTTTTACTAATTACTTATCATTTAAATTGTTTATTGCATAATCAACGACATTGTAAACAGCATCAGAGTTACATAAATAAGGAAAGCCATTAATTACGTAATAATGAGTTTTGGATTTGTATTTAATATTTGCATTTTGTCTTTTTTTTTCCTTTATTTTCACAGTTTTTAATTCTATGTTATCATTAATATACGATAATCATGTTACTGGCAGCCAGTGTTGCCAGAAATTTTTCAACTAATGTAGCAAAAGGAGACTCAAAAAGTCACAAATGACGTCAGAGATCAAGCGGGTTTTTGTGACCTCATAGTTGTGCATGCTCAGATGGCCTCTGACGTCATCACTAATTTACAGTCCATTGGTTCCGTAAGTTACAGAATGTATTTGATTCTTTGTTGTTTCAATTACGTATCATAGCTTTAACGAAAATTTTAAAACTAAATTGATTATTTTCAATTGTTTAAATATCAATTTCTTTTTTAAATTAATTCTCATTTAATTTAGGTTCTATTTTTAAATTGTGTATATCCATTCTTAAGTGATTCCTTGCGTTTAGATTGTTAGTGCTTTTGTACTAAATTTTTTGAGTTGGCAGTTAATTTTGCCTATTTGTGAACATATTGAGAAACGTTTTTCAGTGAGTTTTCCGTTCTGCCTGGTGGGCTTGTAGAGACATTAGGTATTTTTTGGAAGCAGGAGACATGAAAAATGAGCAAAGCCTTCACCGGAAATCGAACCACGGACCTCTGGAATACGCGCCTAGCGTGCTGACCAATACACTACGAAGGCGGAAGAAATACCTTACATACTCCCCCTTTTATAGGGCGACTAGGGTTTAGGAGACCCAATCGCCAAATCCTGGGTGTGGAAAATCATTATCTACCACCCTTTTAGTTCGGGCGCCGTCGTAGTGACATTAGGTTATTTGGAAGCAGAAGAGATGAAAAATGAGCAACGCCTTTTCCGGGAATCGAACCACGGACCTCTAGAATACGGGTCGAATGTGCAGACCACTACACCTCGAAGGCGGGAGAAATACCTTATAGGCTTATTTCAGATTTCTGCGTTGTCCAGACAAACTGTGATCTCAAGTTAGCCCAGGTATTTCGAGTCCTAGTCACGTGCAAACGGCATATTAAATAAAAACTGTAACAGTAGATTCTATGGAATTCATATTAAAAAATGCATGTTTCATTACGAACATTATGAAAGTAATCATTTATCTCAATACAGCGAAAGTAATAAACAATCAGTTAACATTAAACAAAATTTTAATGCTTCTGATCAGCTACGGATGGACATGTTGGAAGGACCGGCCAACTTGCATAGAGATATCGGTACCTCTTTTCGAATTGGCCATAGTTCGTCAAGACAAAAAAGGATGACCGGCATCTTTACGAAGTTCAATTTATACATCTAAGAACGTAACTTTCATCAAGATGGCGTGGATGCCCATTTGAAAATCTAAGTGAACAGTCGTCGAATGGCATAAAGGCGATGGTATCGTTATGAAACCGTCAGGATAGCGGGACATGAAAATACACCGCTTTTATGCTATGAAGTAAAGATTTAGATCCACCAGTTATGAATTTGTGATAAGTTAAAGACGATGGGGTTAATTTGATATGTTTACCATTAATTTATCTTTCATCCGTTTCTCAAACAAGTGACAAAGCGAACTTACGATCACCAGCGCCTCGGAGTTTTTCCCAATAACTATACATCTGCCCCTGCTTGGGATACTGAACATTTCATTGAATGTAAGTAGCTCCACTAGTGGCTGAGAGAGGTTCAGACCACTGATAACGGAAATTGGATTCGGGGTTCAATCCAAGGTATTGGGCTATAGCTTTCTCCATGTGGCCACGTGAACTGTTTTGCACGAAGGCCCACCTTCCCTTAAACAAACAGTCCTCGTGTGTTTTGCCATATTTGATAAACCTAACCATTGAATGTAACTGAAAAGAATTAAATAAAAGAAATGCTCCTAAAATTTATTCCCATTAAAAACTACTCCTGTAAAATTCCCTAAAATAACGCTGAAGACCACAGACCTGCTTTTGGAAACAGATTCCACAAATATTTTCCGAAAGCCATAAAATTCGCGATTCGAGCATTTTTTTATTAAAAGGCTGTATACTGAAATCGATACTTTTTTTTTTTTATCAACTCCAGCGCTAATTTCTGTATGATAAGAATTGCTTCAGACATTGACACTTCGTGAGGTAATTCTTATCCTAGTAAAGCCAGAGCTATCTCGGACAAATTAGATTCAGCAAGAATAATTTCTATTCCATAAATCCTGCTAATAACACATTGCTTTAATAAAAAAAAAAAAAAAAAAAAAAAAAAAAAGAGAGAGAGCGATTCCGTACAGGAATTTTATTTTTATTTTCCTACCATGGTCATGGAATTCTCTATATATGAAAAGTGATTCGAATTAAAAACCTGTCATCAAAGCGAAAACATTCGACTACTTGAGCAATGCAGTGTTAAAAACCAAACTTATCTTTAAACGTAACTTTCAACAAAAAAATGCCATGAAGCTTGCAAATCCTTTTCGTATTATAGGGTGAGGGAACTCATTGATTCCTTAAAGCACTTGAATACCAAAATTCCGCAGTACTTGGGATTTGAGTTTATGCGGATTACGTGGCGCAAAACAATGATTATATTTAGACTAAGAATCCAAAATTAATAAAAAATTCAAAAGAGCAGATAAAGTAATTTCTTTTTTGATATATTTACAGAAATATGCATGACACACAGGGGAAAATTTTTTAAATATTTTTATAGTGAAATAAATACATAAATATATTATAATTTGATATATGGATAAAAACATATAAAAATGATTCTTAATATTTTCAAATGTCTATTGGCAGCAGTTTAAAACTTTGCGATATGCTGGTTTAATAGCCCCCTCTACAAATTATACAGACAAGTAGCATATCTTCCAGCATTCTGAAGAGTTACACAGCTTTGTTGCTCTAAATTCTTTTCTTTTTTTAGAATTTATTCACACTCTTACCGAATTTATGTATAATTTACCATTCTGATATGGCAAAAACACACTACTTTTAGCTCTGAAGTTGAAAATTCTGTCAACTACATACTCACCAGCGGCCAAGAGGTAAGACAACTAAACATTGGTAGTCCGATCCAGTTTTATCTCCCGGCAAACGGGCTGTCTGCATGCGAGATTTCTTGGTTTTCCCCATGTTTAACATGAGTACAAACCGGTTTCCCTTAAAGCGTGTTCCACGACAGCATCTATTCTGATTCAGAAGTCAAACAACAAAAATCAGCGTTAATTCACAAAATCATCTATTCTTTTGGGCAGCCAGCTCAAGCTTGTCGTAATGCAGTCCAAGGACTTAGGCCAGGCGACTCCTCTAGACACATCATAGGATGAATACTCTCTCCTCCAGAAAGTCGACCAGTTCAGCTTAGAGTTGTCGCGAAAGGGTTTTTTATTCTACGGCGAAACTTCTACCGTATCTAAAATCAATCTTTCTATATGAAGAACATCATATGCATAACTGATTCAAAGCAAGGTTAAACATTTATTTACAATATGTACAGTTAATTAATCAACATACAGAAAATTCTACTAATCAAAGGATATGGCTTAATGCGCCATTCCCGTCTAGCATCTTTTATTCAGGTGAGGGTGCTGCTATCGCTGTATGACATATTTCTCTACAAGCGTAGCCTCATGTATAAAATTTCTTCCAACAGTTCCCCCCCAGTGAAATCTCATATAACGTTCAAGAAACTTATCTGTATAGGGCTAAGCGACTGCAGTACCTGAATTGAAGAAATGTGATGCACAGCTGCCCAGCATGTTTTCCTAGACTAGGATACCACTTTCATAGAAGTGGTCGATTTCCCTTATGTTGAAAGGATGATAGACTTGCCAGAATCCCTTTATATGCTGAATCTCGACTCATATCACTGAAAAACACGGCTCCCTATTTTTGTTGCATCCAATAATAGTATGGCTGGCTCCTGAAAAGGCGCACTGTTCTGCGATCGGTTGTTGGCTGCTGAGCGTAAAAGGCCTGCTCTGCTATGCATCTACATACAAGTTGCCTGGAAACTGTTGTTCTAGATGCAGTACTGAGGTCTTAGCTGAGCTCTATCAATCACCTTTCTATGACAAGCAACATTTAATGCCCCGTACCAATTCTCCGCAGGTGCCATGCCTCTTAAGACAGCCTTAGCCAGGTCTTCTGGTAATGGTACCTAGAGTTTGGAACTAAGATCATAACGTGTATACACCATTCGAGACACTTGTAATCATCCAGAGACTTCCATTTGAGAATGGCAGTCCTTAAACCTACTGATGGTTCTCCATCTCAATCTGTCATCTAAATGATTAAGAAAATTCATTTTAACTGAAACAGTCAGTCTGTGAAAAGATATTACAGCGTATTGATGAGTTACAGACTCGAAAATCGGTCACTTACAGGTTTTCTTAAAAAAATGTTCCTTTTAACACATTTTAACAGCTACTAGATGCTTACAGTATATCTGCCATTCCCCAAATCAAATAAGGCATCATTTTTTAAAATATTAGTAGCTATTTCAAATAATTAAAAAAAATGCATGATTTTAATTTTGGACATCAACATAACTGTTACTTTTCTGGTTGCAAAAAAAATTAGAACAGAGCAGCAAATATTACTGACTCTATATTAAAAGTGTCTTCTTTGAAAAACTGATTAGAAGAGAAACAAAATACTTCTGTTATGGTGGATATACATATGAAGTCCGTGGAATTATACATGCATGTAAAGAACATGCAAGATAAAATTCTAATTTTATTTTGCAATAGCTCCTTAAGTCTCTTTTTGAATTAGGTTATTTTCCCTTTCTATCCTAAATATGCTTATAATTGGGCACGTGCAAAAGATCTACCTGCTAGCGATAGGTTGCTAGGGAAAGGTATACTGAGACGGTGTTTCAAGAGTCATGTCATCGGGAGAACATTACGGCAGCAGCAGGAAGCGAGTGTGAACAACTGGCTCAGAAGAGAATGCTGTGCCATTAAATAGAGAACAAAAAGTAACACATCAGACGATGTTTAATATTTGAGTTCGACAATGGCAGAATTGCGGCCCTAGGCATCCACAGCATCAGGCAAGTGTAGGGAAGACAATGCAGCTGATGAAAATACATGCCATCGCTGGTTTCCAAAATTCAGGGTCAATGACAGAAGTTGCCAAGATCAAACATGGTCCGGGCGGCCATCAGCATTTTCCAAGGATGATCTGGACCTAGCCCTAACAGTTAGTCCGAATCCAACTGTAGAATAAACAGAAACCTTCCAGGTACACAGAATAACAGTGGAAAGAAGGCTTAAGGCTATGCATTTGATTACAAAGTTCGACCACTGTGTTCCACATCAGTTGAATACAGCTTACTGAGAGAGGTGAGTTAAGATGTGTTTCCTTACTTTCTCGATATGAAAATTAACACTTCTTGATATGGATTGTAACGGATGAGAAATGAGTTATAAATTGGAACGTGAAGTGTCGGAGGAATGAGTCTGAAGTGCTTCCATCACAATCTAAAGAGCTTCATCCTAGAAGGTGCTGTTGAGTGTCTGGCAGGAAGTGAAAAGTATAATTCAGTGGGATGTCCTCAAATCTAATCAAAACATGAATGCAACATTCTGTCAACAACTTTTCACCATCAAATTACTTTTAAATTTATATTAATTGCCTTAAAGGAAAGAAAAATCGCTTAAATTTTAGTAACTTTGTTGCAGTCTTTGGTTTTTAATATGATGCACAATGGTATTTCTTTAAATAATAAATCCATTAATTTACAGTTTTATTGCCAACATTTAGCAAAAAATATATCGTATTTTAAACATTCATAATCTGGCAATTCTGTGCATATATTTTTCCATATCTGCCAAATAAACTAAATCTATGAGTTAGTTGTTCTACACATTGGATCAAAAGGGAAAATGCTGTTTTTCAAAACTGGTTTCCATTTGAAACTGTTCATCATAACAGTAACATGTGAGCTTTATTTGCTGAGTTAACAGTTTGCAGCCACCACTGAAATTTTTAAATTGTGACAAATTTTTTCAGAAGGCTTAATGAAAAAGCTTTCATGTCAGAAAACAATTGTGTGCAATTCACCGACCTCACAATAAATGGGTGCTTGGATGATTTGATAAAGAAACTATAAGAGTCTAGAATTATGGATTTGTGTTCCCTTCAAATTAATATCAAGGTTTGGTTTAATATATCATTTCAAAGTTATCTGAATACACATCAGGGCTATCTGCCTAAGGGAAATCCATTAGAAACTGGGCTGCACACATCATACCATTCCAATAAGCATTTGTATTTACAAGGAGTCACAGACATGAAATAATCACACCAGCATTAGAGAATATAACAGTTAAGAAGATAATGGAGAGAATTATGAAAATTGATGTACTTCTTGTACATCTTTGACAATGGATTATCTACCTACATATATTGAGATGATTATTCAAAACGTCATGTCAAGCTTTCTAAGACGTACACATGGATCTTATCTTTTTATGGATGTCCACAACAAGGAAAACTGGTTGATGGATTTCTTAAGTCAAGTGAATACAATAAGCTAATAAACTGCCCAAACAAATGTCCTCATTTGAATTCCAAACAGAACACAAAGAAAACTCTTCAAGTAGCTGCTGCATCATGAAATTCCCCTCCTATTACTCTTGATTTCAATGCTCTTATGACCATATTGGTTGAGGAGTGGAACTTATCTCTTCCAAACTTGAATTAACCATTTACAGAAAGCACTGAAGTACATTTTAAGTTTTTATGAGTTATGGGAGATAAAATTTTTTTGCTAAATATCCACTTTTTAAAAAAATTTTGTAGCCACATACTACCTATTTCACATGCATTGATATTCAGTTTATATTTTGTAAAATGATAGCAACTGTCAGACGAATGAACCTCCAAACAAGTTTCATGCATAATACATACTGGCCACTGCTTGCATAAAAAATGTCATTCATTTGTGTACACTTCAGATAAGACTTCAGCTTATTATTGCTAGCAACCTCAACCAACAGGAACCAACTGAAAGAGACACTCCGACACAAAATTTCAAATTAGGCAAGGAGGAAGAACCTTAGATTGGGAAAAATTTATTTATGCATAATTAATTATGTTTCAAGTTTGTGCCAATCTAAAGCTGCTTTTTTTTTGCTTGACTTTATATATAGAAATTCTACTGCAAAAATTATGCAAAAGTATAGAAATAATTATTTACACAATACACACATAATGCAGGCATTTATGTTATTAGGTTATGAGAGTATTTTAGGTTACTTGAACAAGCAATTTAATCAGTATTTAATTCATAATGTTAAAACTCTTAAAGTTCTGAAATATCTTAAAATTTTAAGGAGCTTAAAATAACACATAATTGCTAAAAATATTTCTTTTCATACTCAAATCTATTACAATACTTTTGCATAGAAGATCTCTGTTTTTATCACATACTTTTACAATGTGAACACATGTAAGCAAATTACACTTTATACTGCAATACAGCCTCAATTTAGTTTTATTTATATAATGAACACCACGAGATACCTAAAATGGTTAAGATAGGTGAATTTTATATAAAAAAAATTATATACAAATATTCATTACTAAATTAATGAAAGCAGAATAAGATCCTCACATGTTAGTTAAAACACAGGGAATAAATTTATGTAAGAAATCTGGTAACTTGAAAAACTATGTTTAGGCAATTCAATCACTTTTTTATGATTACATTTCTACAAGTGTAGAGAAACTTAATAGGTAAAAACAGAAAATTTAAGAAGTGAGAGGAAGTATATATATATATATATATTTTTTGTTATGGATACATTAACAGTACTTTTACAAAACAAAAGAACAAGAAACTTATACATATATTCCTACAGCTGTTTTTCAAAACTTCACAATATTTGCAATAAGTAATTAAACTTTCAAAATAACTTTTTATTCTATACCAATAAACTTTTCAAATATAACACTCATATTAACAAATTAAAAACATAGAAAGAACAAACAAGTTTCAACATTGAACAAGAAAATGCATATAAATATTTTGATAATGACAATATAATACATGAATTACAATAATTTAATGCATGAAAATGAATATCACATATCTATGCTCAAGTTCAAACTGTAAGTAAACACTTGCAATCCACATGCCTACATTTTAAAGATTCTGAAATTTAGCAAATGGCAAAGTTACTTCAGCAATGCACTTTTTCCTAACCTGTCATCAACATTATGATCAACTACATATTATATATTAATAATTAAGAAAACAGTTTTTTCATGGCACTTGCATAATACTGATTTAGCTTCTGAACTCTGCATTTCAGAATCTGCATCTGCTTAGCTACAGCCTGATTCTTAGGTTCTAATTGTTGAGCAGATGACAAATCTTCCTTGGCCTTTTCATATTCTTGTAACTGTAAATATGCAGCTCCACGTCTATAAAGAGCTTTTGCATTATTAGGTTGTATTATTAGGGCTTTGGTTGAGTTGATCACAACAGATTCAAAATTATGATGCCTCATCTGGCAAGCAGCAACATTAAGATAACATGATAATTTAAGTCCTCTTATATCCATACCTTCCTCCTGTCCAGAAGGAATATCATGTTCTAAAGAAATGACGTATTTGAAAGTAAGTCCAAAACGTCTAAAAGCATACTGGTATGCTCCTCGTGAGTATAATTCCAAACCTCTCTGTTTATGGTAACTAGCTCTACGCCACTTTTCTGTAATGCTCATTTCCCATATTTCAGGCTCTCGTGTATAAGACAAAAGCTGAAATTGAATTTCAACTAAATTACTAGATGCATTTTCATTAGTGGAAGGAACACACACATTTGCTTCTGATTTGTTTTCTGTGGATTGTTTTGCTTCAAGTGATAAATCAGAAGCCTCATTTATTTGTTGTACTGTTTCTTTAGTTTCAATTTTACTCTCAGAAGCAGTATCAGTCGGTGACAGATTATTTGATTCGTTTTCTAAGTCCACCATTTCAGTACTTTCAATAAGGCTCTCATTTGTTTCATTATCCTGCATTTCAACTGGAATAACACAATCAGTATGTAAACAAGGGTGTTGGAATTTTATACAACATTCTTCTTCTTCTTTCATAGTCCGAATGCAGTCCTCAATTACTCGATCAGTAGATTCATCTACATCTCCAACAACTATTTCTTTCATTTGGGTATCATCCACACTGGTCAAAATACTCATTTCATCTGCAATAACTTTAATCTTACACACTGAGCCATCCTGAGGTGTATTAAAGCCATATCCCTTTGATATAATCACTTTTGAGAACAACTTTTCTGGAGCTTTTCTTAAAACAGGCATACTCAATAAAACAGTCAGTTATATACATAACACATTTTTCTGAAAAAAAATACACACATATATTAATTCATGGAATATTATTTAATATTACAGACAAATCATAAAATATTTTATAATAGTAGACTAGAAACCTTTATTTTCAAGCATGCTTCATTAGATGCAAGTTCTAAAGATTAAGATAACTTAGAAGAGATAATGCAATTCATTACAGTTTCATGAAAACACTTTTGGAAGTTAAAAATATTTTATCATTGCATAATGAGAAATTCAAAGCAGATACAAGCATTGAAACATATTTTTATAGACAGAAGTACAAAATGATTCAGATTTCCTTAAACTTTCATATGCATGATTCTTTTCAGCACATATACAATTCTTGTATAGAACTCGCTGATATGAAACATATATATGATGTGACCTCATAAGACCATTAATAGGTTCTTGTCAAAGTAGAAATTACAATTTGTAAGTATAATTTTTATGCCTTAATAATTTTAGTAAACAGTTCATGTGCTATAAATACATTTATGTTATCTCAACAATAACTTTTATATATAATGAAAACTTCCATTTCCCAAAATGTTGTTCTATAAATAGCATTGTTGAAGGGAAATATAATTCTAGTCCAATGGATTTCACAAATAAGGGCAAAATTTCATGTACACAGCTATATTAGAAAATGCGCAAGTGTTTCAACTGCCCTTTTTTATAATATTTACCCACACTTTAAAGCCATTATCCCCACAGTGATTCCTTTTACTGATAACAGAAGAAATTTTTTTGCTCTTCCTTTCCAAACACAGCTATTAAATTCACTATATAAGCTGATGAATAGCTTATCACTATAAGGAACATAAAACAATCATTGATGGTTCACGGTTTTGATTACAATGATTTCATATCATCACTACTAAGCCTTTTATCTAACTGTGAAGTATGTCATGAACTCAAGAGGAGGTTCTCGTGAAGATACGAAGCTTTATGACCATAAAAGAAAGAAAAAATAATTTCTTGAAGTTGGAATTTTGTGAAAAATGAAATTATCCTACTTCATGAAATTTTGTCCAGAATGAAGACGAAAACTTCTGGATACAGGATAGACCTACTCAAATCAAACGAATCCTATTGCCTTTTCAATGCATTTGTGATTTAACCCGTTACATTCATTAAAATGCATATGGCCTGTTAAGTCTAAAACCTCAACAAAAATGAGTTGAAATTACCTTTTACACATCAAACTCCACAAAAATGTGATTAGAAAGACTGGATTATTATTGTTAATACATAAAGAAAAGAAAGCAAAATTATAAACATACGAAACACATACAGTCGTAATATTATTCAAAGAAATATTTACTACAATGTTTTGTAGCTTGCTTGTGAAGCAGACACTAAACATGCATAATCTTAAGACCCAAATTATACGTACTAATATTTGTGAATAATGTTTGCTGATAAAAAGGATGAAACAATATAAAAACCACTTTGAGAAATAATTACATTTTTGCTAAATACATAGCAAAATTGAAAACGTATTTACCCCTTTTCTGTTTCATTAATATGCTCAAGCTCCCGTTTTAGCGCACTGTTTTGTTTGGCAAAATTAAATTCAAGATGATGGTAGAACAAGTGACTCAGTAGATATAAAAATTCTGAATACCTCACTATTTGGCACCATTGGAACAACAGAACTACTGAGATATGAACTATGGCTAATGGCACAACATTGTATAGCATCACCCATTGTATATAGTATCATTATAACAATGTTTTGGAGAAGCCCTATAAAACACATCTGCTGCAGAAAACCAGTACCAAGACAACAGTATAATGAAGGTAATTATTATTTGTAAGAAATGTCGGTGTGATGAAAATATGCTAATTTGTATTTGCTACAGTACCTAGTTTCTACTTGAACAGTATGAAGGAGGAAGACTGAATGAATAAGTATAGTAATGCCATACCTGTTATTATGAATCTCTCATAATATTGATACATAAAAAATATTGCTGTAACAATGAGGCTAAATCTAAAACTAGGACTGACTAAACAATTGAAATAGTACTATGTTTGGAGAAATAAGCATTCATATTATTTCTTATTTGAAGATGTATATTTAAGGATGAAGAAAATGAACAAAAGCATACCCCTCAGACTGCCTTCTTCTACCAAAAGAAAGTGATGGCTCTATCATGTTTTGTACAGTAATATACTGATTTTCAGTAAATGCCAATAAAACTTTGATGAGAATGATAGTAGGACTGACATTATTCTGACAGAATGTGGGCATTCACTGCCATATTTTTCTCACATGCCATATTACCTTTTAAGATAACATTTCAGTTAACATGGGTGGATATGTTCTTTCTTTGAGTGTGTGGGGGGAGGGGAAACCCTCAGATGGCTGCACAATCACCAAACTTAAAACACTACTGAACTATAATGATTTGTATTGGAAACTGAAGTGCAGTAGTTCTTACTTGAAGAATAATGTAACATACAACCGGCCATGCATAATTTATTATGTAGCCAATCCCAGGAAGATTCAGGCAGATCTGAAAGCTAAAATTAGTTACAACCTAAAAGATACATCCTATTTTCCACAGTCATATTATTTTATTCCACCTCTTAAATGCACTACATGAATTTACCTATGCAATATGCATTTATTAATGGAAAGTTACTGAAAAAATAAAATTACAAAGGCCTTTATGGTGAAGTTAGATTAGAAAAACCAATTATAATATTAATCTTTTAACTATATTTTATATACTAAAATGAAAAATGTACTATACCATCAAATAAAAATAAAAAAAGTTTTAAGTTATGTTTTAGTTTAAAAGTTTGTCTCAAGTTTCAACTTAAAGCCTACCAAATACAGTAATAAAACAAAAAAGTTTCTAAAGCAGTAAAATAAAAGATGTACACTTTTATTCAGATAAAAGTTTCAAAATTTAGTTCATAACTAAAATCAACTGAACTGCAAGGGATAGTAATACTAATGCAATTAATAATGACAGATGTATTTTCATAACTACTAACACTTCAGTCAGTTGAGTTTAAATACGAAACAGGTTAAAATACAACATATGTTTAGTGACATAAAAGCATTTTAAAAATTAATCTGCAATATTTGCATATATTTAAATTTAAACAACTTCAGCAAGAAATCATCAAAATGAAAAATACTGAAACTGATTTTGTTGCATGCATAAAATTATACAACATTTATGAAATTATGAATTCTAAATTATGTTATCTGATATAAACTAACATATTAGAAGCAAATTTTTTTCAAAGTTCATGCTTTCCATAGTTAAATAGTTAAATCTATATGTAATTCAAGTGAATGAAGCCATTAATTTCCTTAATCATTTTCTTAGTACAGAGGAATAAAGAAAGAAAGAATTAAAAACATTATATACAGCAACTAAACTTAATTACTGCATACATGCTAATACTGTTAAACAAGTTAAAACTCCAATGTTACTGATGCAGTCATTCCATATGCTAAATTAATAAATCAGAATGCAAAATACTGATCAACATTGCATACTTTATTAACTTAGAGATTAGCCTTAAAAATAGGACAGGAAATATAAAACTGTAAATTTAGCAAGGGAATAGGAAAAAATTAGAGGAAGGAAATCAATAAATATCAGTCTTAGAACTCAAAATTTATGATGAAAGTATGCACTGGAAAAATTCCATTGTATGCAGAATGTAGGAAGATTAGTGAGAAAGTTCCTCATAAGCTATTTCTAATAAAAAAGAAAATCTAGGAATTAAGCATTCAGTTAAAAAAAAAAAACTAGGTAGCAATTTGTCAATAAAAACTAGTTCCCCTATAAATGTCACAAGCAATGTCCAGTCTCGGGTACTGAAATTCATGCTGAAATCTAACCACAGATAGTATCACTAATATTAGAATTTTATTTAAAACTCTATGGCTAAAAATTTCTTTAATTTTTCTGTTGAAAAAAGATGACAATTATTACAGAAATGCTACTTTCTTGAACCGAACTTTATGCTAATTAAACAGTTTTATAAGTTATGAAGCCTCTACTTCTAAAGCAATGTAAACTGCATACAGTCATCATAATAATTCAAAACTGAATTGTTCAGAGAAGAAAGGAAACATTGGCTCTATGTCACTGGCAGCACAAGAGGCAAGGCTGGGCAAAAAACATACAGATATAAAGAACAGTGTACAAGTGAGATGAGACTAACTGGCATCAAGCCATCACAATTTGACATGAGAATAGTTGTCAGAAACTTCCTTAACTCATTTTCCAAATGTAATTTCCTTGAGCAATATATTATATATACAAGTGAAGTATGGACAAGTGCAATGACACTAGTTATGTTACTCTAAATTGTTGGATGCTGCATACTGCATACCTTGGTTGTTTTCTAACTTTGATAGCAGTTCACATTCAAGTATTAGATTGAAAAAAAAAAAAAAAAAAAAAAAAAAAAAACAGTTCTTTCAAATCACATTGGAAGCAAACTCTGTGCATGAAGGATTGGGAGAAAAAAATTTGACTATCGATAAAGACTTCAAAGAACAAATTCGATACACGGAAATTTTTGGAAAGTGGTTTTAGAACAGTTATTCTAACATTAGCTTACGTTGCCAAAAAATGTGTTAGCTTTTTTTGGACATAATGAAGATACAAATACTAATTATAATAGCATTTTTTTATCGCAGGTCAAGTCATTAAATAAATATGACAATGTTATAAACAAAGTGTTTTTTTTTTTTTTTTAAATGCCAGTAGGAAGTGTGCAATATTTGAATATATTTGATCCCTATCAAACAAAATGAATTAATTGAATGTACCGCTCATACTTTAAAACAAATTTTGGTGAACCAAATAAATGCATCTCCCTTCTATTCTTCATTATGATATTACTCAAGCTAAATCAAAGACAGATCAAATGAGGACCATTTTAAAACATATTTGCATTGCAAGACATAATTCAGAAACCATAAATTTTATAATCAAAGAAATATTTCTCAGATTTTTTATGCTGTAAAAAATCACTCTTCTGAAGGATTGAAACAAATCATTCTCAATTTCCTGAATGAAATAAAAATTACAATGAAAAAGTGCTACAGACAAGGATTTGACGACATTTATGTTAAGAATGAAGTCTATAATGGCCTCAAGCAAAAGATAAAAACTATTCAGTCAAATGCAGAATATAAACAGTGCTCATTTCCCAACTTCATCATTACTGACTCTGTAAGTGGTTGCAAAGGAATTGCATCATTTTTTGATATATTATAGAACATACATTTATTCTGTGGGAAAAGTATAAACTGATGGCAGTTAACAAATTTTACAGCTTAATCAGGAATACCTCTAACAAAATAAACCTGGCTAGTTGGCCAGGAAGGATCACCTCACTAAATACAGTAAAAATTACATTTTGGTAAAATTCTGAAAGTTTTAACTGAAATCCACTTTAAAAGCAATAATAAAAAAAAAAAGAATGGGAAGAACTGCAGATAATAAGAATATAGAAAAAAGAAAATAGCAAATTTATTGTTATTTCTATATTCATGCATAAAATAATAAATGAAATAAATAATTATTTAAAAACATTACAAAAAACTAATGCAGTGTACTCTCAGTTATCCAGGCATAGATTATTCCTGCATGGCAGTACCCCATGCACATTTATCACTGTGCACAAGAGTGCGTGCGAGAGAAGAAAAACACACAAGTCCAAGCATGAAAAAAGATTCTTCCTAATATAAAAACTGAAGATTTCTTTGAAAAAGTAAACTGGAAAAACATCGAGGAATGGTTCGAGGAAAAAAGATTCTTCCTAATATAAAAACTGGAGATTTCTTTGAAAAAGTACACTGGAAAAACATCGAGGAATGGTTCAATGGTGACTGACTGCACTGAGCCAGGCTTTAATTGCTTCAGGCTTTAAATACTTTGTGATGAAAGTATTTCAAATGTCAGAAGAAGAGAAGAATTCATAGGATTTTGAAATGGCACAAAGAGATGAAAACCTGAGAAAAAAAGGTCTAGTGAATATGGAGTATTGGGGGTGGGATACAAAACATGCCAGCCATACTCAATAAGTTTTTGTCTTATACTCATCAAAATGTATAGCCAAGCATTAGCAAGATGAAAAACAGCACTTCAAAGATTGATCAGTTCTGGGAACTTTGCCTTGACTTCTGTTTTTTAAATATACCGACCCAGAGCTCAAATAGCATCGGAGCCTGGCTCTGGTACTTCACAGTTTATGGAGTAAATCATAATTATAGCCGGAGTGCATAGGAGCCCTAAATAAGAAGGCTCGGGCACTTTTTTATTAAATTACCGAACAACAATTTCAGTAGAAATTTGATCTCAAAAATTTTATTTTTAGCAGCAGTAAAATTATATTAAAAATCGTTTATTAAATTTTAATTTACCTCTTTAAATTTTTAATTTTAATTATTTAATCATTTTAATAAATATAATCATTAATTAATTAATTGATTAATTATTATAACAACTAATAAATATTAAATAATTATTTATTTGATTAATTAACTATTTAATTTTTAAATTATTAATGATTTAATAGTAATTTTATTATTTATTTACTCTTGGTCTTCATAGGCCTCCAGCACTTCTAATTTTAGAAATTAAGCCCTCATACTGACCATAAGTACATAACATAAAAGAATGCACAAATAAAAACATCAAAAGAAATGAAAATAATAATTGACTTACTTTATTCTACTTGTGCATTCTGCTGATACCAGAAAAATTGAATCTCCTACCATTAAGTGTAATTATATCCTGAACATTCATGCTACAAAAAATAAAATTCAGAATTTTTATGAAACTAATAATCTTGCCTGTAAATGCAAAATATACAGGTCTTTAAAAAACTATTCAAGCATACAAGTTTAAACAAAATATTTTAGTAACACAGAAAAGGGCACTTGTTGGGTATGTGGTACCTGCCAGCATAATGAATAATCTAATAGCAAAAAGCATTATTGGACCATAAACAATCTATTAACAAATCAAATCTGTTTTTCTTTATTATTTCTGACAGACATAGTTTAGATGCTGCATTCAAAACAATATCAAAGCAATAGTTATTCTCTACAACTTAATCTGTGTTCATATAAACTCTGATGACCTATGTCATGCTGCCACTTAGTTTTCAACTTCCTGATCTCTACATGCGTTATATTGCTTACATGTGGAATACATCTTGGGATTGAATTTTATGTTCAATTTAAGAAAAAAGGGAGCACCCCCTCCCTCCTCAAAAAGAAAGAATATTACCAAGAAAAGAAATAAAAAATTCCTCTTTGAAAAAAATCTCGAACAGCTCCTAAGACTGCCGAAAGTCGTAGGTAGGATTTTTGGAGAAATTTTAAGGGGAATCATATAACCAACAAATAATGAAAAAAAAGTTTATTAAAGCTTTTAATTTACTGCATATAAACCAGAATTTACTGAATTTTAAATTATTTGCAGACAAATCGTGTTACCAAACTTTATGAAGCAAATATCAACAACATATTAAAACATACGACACAGAAAATGTTATATTGGAAAAAAAAAAAAAACTATCTTTTTAAATTCTTATAAAACTGTAATCTACCAAACACAGATATAGCAAAGGAAAATGAATAATTTCATCATTCTTTAGACACAGAGAATATAGAAATGTATATATTTTTAAATTTCAAGTTAAATGAAATAAGAATCAAACTCGGGAAAAAAACGTTTACTTGAAAATAGAACAATTTCTTTATCCTTTTTTTTCATTTTCATTAAACAACAATCCAGACATGAAGAGTTAAGTTTCAAGAATTTACAGGATGCCTTATAAAATTTCAATATACAAAATATTAAAATGGCATTAAAATATTCACTGCAATATACATGTTCTAGCTAATAAATGTACAGAATAGATTCATTATGTCAAACTTCTTGGGCTGCCCAACTGGGATAGTGGTTAGCAACGCTGACTGCATACCAATGGATGTTTGTAAATGTATAGTGTCTGAGTGGCATAGGGGCACTTTAAATATGCAGCGAGAAAAAAGTCATCTCGAGAGATTGGGAGTAGGGGAAGAGGGGTGGGAGACTTTCGGACTCGTTCAGGATTCTCTTCATCAAAATTGGGGGTGGAACTGAGCTAAAGACATACTGTCACCTGTATAGTGCTCACGGCTGTTGCCAACAACACGTACAATCTTGCATTCTTTGTCATGAAAAATTTCATGGCCTTGTTCTGATGCTACTGTCAGACAAGTGGGATTAAGTCAACAACAAACTTCTTGAAATATAAAGGCAGCATGTTTGTAATAACTTCATGAAATAAATCCTCCAATTCCCAGAAAAGTCATGATGGCCACTTGCAGTTAGACTGCATTTGCTTCTTTTAGTTGGCACACATTTACTTCAGATATTCCAGCAGGAAGGTTCAGAAATTAATTTCAGGGCTCTGTGACATCCACATAGGTCTGAAAATACCCAAATGTTGATGAAACATCACATGGAAATCAAGCCCCATCATTAACACTTGCGACTTTCTCTTTTGGGAATATCTATACAAAAAAGTCTACTAACAGAAACCACCAAACGCAGAACAATTGTGAATGGCCATTATGACCTTCTCTGAAGAATTAACACGATTTAATTGTCAAGTTAACATTAGCCAGAACGTTTACCTGGAAAAGGCTGTATGAGAAGGACATTGGCATATTAAAGTATTTTGTGCACTTTGGCCAGTAATGCATATTCCAATTAATTTTTAAACCATCTTATTTGCAATATTTTCACATTAAAATTTCACAAACCATTTTCAGCATACTTTTTCACACATCATTCTGCATATATTAAACTATTTTAGCAAAAAAGTATGGCATAGTTCAAGATTACAAAGTAACTTGTAAACTTTTAATAATTTCATATTACTATTATATAAGACACTTTTGGCATTGACCTTTCTTTCATATGCTATTCTGCATATAATAAACTATTTTACCTCAATCAATACTCCAATGAGAAAAGTATAACATAGTTCAACTAAACAGGGATTTTCTGCTTTAACATGCAGTAATAATTCTATATAAAATTTATTAACAACTACACTGTCAGGTCAAATAATTCCAGGGAAGAGATGGAAATATAATAAACTTTGTCTAACTTAAAAGTCTTCAAATATTTTTAAAAATTATAAATATATATAATTCAAAATGCACAATGAATTACTAATTATATATTTATGCTTGATGAAAGAGCATACAAATAATGTAAAAACACTTCAATATACTAAATATTTATTTTCTTATCAATACACAACTTAAAGTTGTCAACAGCCCATTGTTTTTAAAAAGAATTTTGGAAAAACAAGTTAACAGAAATTAAGGTGAATGTCATCTAAAATGAGTTTAAGAATATATGTATACACACAATGCAGATAATTATTCAAAGAGTTTTATTAGATATTCTAATTAGACTATTACCTTATTTACTCAGTTAAAAAAAATCTATACTCTGTCATCACCTTCAATGGAAATACAATGAACTGTAAGATAGTAGTGGTGTATTTAATTATGGCAAAGCAGGCGAGGGCTATCTGCCTAAGGGGAGGGATGCCTTCATGGAGGACTTTCTAAGGGAAACTGGCTCGTATACACGTTACACATGGGGAAAACCACGAAAACACCCATGCAGCCAGCCCGTTCGCAGGATTCGAATCTCGGACCAAACTACCACTGTTTAGTGACTTTACCGCTCGGCCGCTGGTGGGCTAAGTTTAAGCAGCACTTTTGTCTTAGGAAGATAATAGTTCAATGCTGATGTTTGTTTATGTTCTGAAAAATACTGATCATTTTCAGAGTGTTTAGGGAAAGAGTCAACATGAAAAGGTTCAATGTACTAGAAAGTTGCACGAGTGCAAATTTCACTTTGTTGGTTAGAAGTTCACATAATCTTATCACAGTCCAAAAAGTTTAATTATTTAATGAAGAAAAAGCACATGATGGCTGGCTACCTGCCAAGCAAATGAGATATGCTCCCAAGGGCATTTCATTTACTTATATTAAATATGGAGAAAAGAAAACACTTAAATTGTCAACCTATTTAACTATAAGGATGATAACCTAAGATGAATACCAGATATTCTAGACTGCAAACATTATGGTTTCTACCCGAAATTAAAAACTGCCATAAGCAGAATGCGACTCACTCCGGACAAAAACATGCACTACCAAAATGTCTCCGAAAGCAAAAATAAATATTGAATGATATGAGAAAACCTAATCTAATTAAAAATAGATCAAACGAATCAATGAAAATAGTTGTTACTTTCTTATTGTCTAATGTCAGTATCTTATTTCCAAAATGTAAAAATAAAATGATTATAAAAATAAGTTAGTATAAATTATAATAAAATAATAATTATATAAATAATATTATAATTGATAAAATTATTATAAAGTCTTTTCTGAACAGATCAAACCAAACACCCTATTTTATAACTATATTAATCTGAGTTGTTTCTTCATTTTTGCAATCATGATAATGTTATTTGGAATCTGAGAATGATTGGGTAACATATAATATTTTCAAGATGCATTTCATTATCAGTAGTCTAAAATTCTGACTTACTGATGGATGTTTTAGTCCTGGATTAAATAAATAAATATAAATGGTCATTAGATATTAATGGTTTTAAGGAAAAGATCACACTGTTTACGAAAGCAAGCACAGTCCTTTTTTACAGCTACGAAAAGGAAAGAAAATTCCAGTTTTCAATAAAATCACCACCTGATTTTCATCCATTGACCAACCTGAATTTCTTATATTTGCCAAATATGCTGAAAATACTTCAGAACAGTCTTGAATAATATAAATCATCAAATCATCAGTTTTTAATTTTTTTACCACAGAATACTTCATGATGCTGCTGGTGTTTTATAATGCATAACCGGCATACTTTATGCTAACATAAATAAAATTCTAAATGTTAAACATAGAATGCCAGATGTAATTGGTTCATGTAAATTTGTGTTCAACTGAAGAACCATTTCTTTTTTACTATAGGTTTTTAGCTAACTACTATGAAGCAGCATGAAGAAATCTTGGTATGTATTACACCGACACAAGAGATCTTGGTACGTATTACATTGATAAATAAAAAGAGCATATGCTGAAATGAGTATAGAATTTACAACAAAAAGTTTGGTACGATAAGGCTGCACAACTACCTAGCATAAGCATACACATGCATGTGTTCTACAAAGCTATTTTTATTAAAGGCTAAATGGCACCTTAAAAAAGATAGACACGGGAAAGATAATTTCATTGAAATAATAATTTGTCATTACGAAACCCTGAACAAAAATGTGGAGCTCAGTATGGACACTGTGCATTATGCCCTCCCGACTATAATATTTTAATTTCCATACCAGTGTCTTTTTGCAGTGCTTGTGTGATGAAAGCTATTCCTGCTTTTTTCTAGATCAGACAACATATAGAATTACTCCACACTATTGATGCATTTCTCATAGATAAAGAATATCAATACCTCACTGTTGTATCCCTGAATCTTTGTGGTTGACAGAATGTCCTATTCTCAAAAGATGTAAAATGCATCCGCCAAAAGTCTATGTAAACATCTCACCCCAATCCACCCTTACTTAAACATCTTGCCTTATACAATCAAAAGTCGTTAATCCGGACTCGTCGGGACTTCGATTCTGGATTATCGATTTTTCCGGATTATAGATCATCAGTTTAAATCTCGTAAGATGGCATGCAGAAATTCTAAAATTAAAAATATGAAACCTTAATTTATGAAATAAAGAAC